CTAGGTTAACGGTACTCTTGCTATCACTACTCACCGACACTATAAACCTTGTCCCTCATGCTAGCCCTGACAACACCGGTAAGCACACCTTCATCTAGGCTGCACTGTTACGTGTCCTGACTTGTAGTGGTTCTCTCCTCTGTCTACACTCTTCTTGTCATCTTTGTAAAACGATATCAGACTGGTAATTGACACAGCCATGACTTCTAGTTAAATTCAGTGTGGCTAAAATGAAAAGCTTTGTTAAAATATGCAAGCACGCGAAAGTCAAAGTCAGCTTTATTGTCAAAAATTCTACATGTGTTATACATCCAGAAATATCGAAATATCGTTTCCCACAGTGTGACATGTATACATAAAACAAAACAAAAAGGGCCTAGATAAACGTGGTATACATTAAACAAAACAAAAAGACCCTAGATAACCGGGATATACAGTTTAAAATGTTAATATATTTAAAGTGTTCAAAGTGCAGTTTCAGTGCAAGTCAGTTGAAACGATCTTAAGTTGGCGTGACGTTGAAGTCCTGCGACCCTGCTGCTGTACTGGCTTGTAGTTAGTTTATAGCATAACGTTAGCATTTTCCTTCTGGCGACTAGATTTATGATTCAAAAATTATAAAAGTAGGGTTGACATGTGGAGATTATCCGGCTGAACAAAACGTGATCCCTCTCTTAGATGTGTGTCAACCACAGACCTTATTTCGAGCTATTTTCCAAAATCCTATGGAGAATTTGCATTGGTTTTTGACGAAGGAACCGGAAGAAGTTTACTTCCGGGTTTTATGACGCGTCACTGCGGTTCTCTATACCTTGCTATACCATAGACTGTATGTGCTATACCCGCACCTCCGTTCCAGCTGAGAGGGTTTCCTCTACAGCTGGGCTGATTGTGAATCGCCTCCGCACATGAAAGCTGTAGGCCTATAGCTGTCAAACTGTGATCACCAGTTCAATACATTTGACAAATTCGACTTGGTTTCTTCACTTATTTGAACATCCAAAAATTCTTGAAAAACATTGGGTAAAAAAATAAAGATATTTGAAACATTTTTTTTTACCCATTTTCTTTTATAGGATAAGTACATTTCGGTTAACCGGTTAACCGTTTTTTGGGGGGTCGAATATTCAAATATACATTTGCTTTCAAATTCCCATCCCTACTGGGCGGCCCGCCCAAGTATAGTCTATGTGTGGGAAACCCTGCGATCACATAAGAGTGATTGTCAGTTCTGGGATCAGCAGATTGTTTATTTACTCCAGACTCCTGTCTAACGAAGTAACACTTTTGAATCAAAGGTTGGGAACAAGACTTTTTCTAACAAGATGGCACATTTCTGCCAAATCTTCAATTATTAATCTGATAAGATGACCTAAAATATACTAATTGTTGTACTATATTGCAACAGTGACTTCACGGCCTCTTCATGGAACACTATCTTGCAGCACTGGCTTTAGGTGTCAGGAAAAAGGAGTATTATCAGTGGTTGACTTTGTACAATGGAAACACGGATTCAAGTCAGTTACATTTATTGTCAAACATTTGGTACATTTGGCCTGGTGCGGAAGCTAAAGCATTATACTATATAGACTAGTAATGTGGACATAAACAAAATAAACCTCCCGCTTTTGTATTGGAAGACAACATGATCATTTGCATTCCTATTCTTATCCAAGTTTTGATTTTACAATCAACCATTATTGAAACACATTTTAAATGTTTCGGGTTGCATAACAATCCTCTAAAAAAAAATCCTGGGCTGACAATGATAACACAAATCATTAAAAAGGCCACTAATTGTCTCTGTTTTGCTAGTAGATGGGAAATGTCAGATTGGTAACACTGCTGAGGTTCTTGTGAAGAAGTCTGTATGGGAGATATCTGATGTTCTTTCTCACTTAAAAACTGTGAGAGAGAAAAAACTGTGAATATGCAAGTGAGGCGCATGAAAACTAAAACCCATCTGGGGACAATAGTGAGTGTGATTGGAGCGAGGGCTTTTAACTCATTAGAGATAAGATTAAAATGATATTGCTAATGTGGCTTTTCGCTGCCATCCCATGCATATGTACAACAATACAAAATACACTTTGCTAAACAGATTTGTGATCCTTCTTAATTTTTTAAGCCACAAATGGACAAGGTAAAAGATACACTGAAAGACGAAGGGATGAAATATCAGTCCAAAGAAAAAGAAAGCATGAATAACAATCTAACCAAAAGTAATTTTATGGTCGGTGCTTTGAAACATTTCATTCCGTAATGACAATGCATGGAGGCTTGATATGCAGTTGAAGTTAACAGCCAAATGTTGGACTCATGACACAATTATATATTTAGTTGAGACCGAAGACCATACTATGTATACAGTCATGTAGGACATGTTTATATCCCAAAGCATGTGTCACTAATATCTGATGTGTTGTGCCACACTGCTCACCTGTAGACGGGCTGCATCTCTCTGGTGATGCCTATCACCGCTCCTGGAGGAAACCGGTCAAATTCTTTAAAAAGGTCCCTGATGTTGGTCCTGTATTTCAGATCCAGGTCAAGCTGCACTATGCGCGTCAGACCTGGAAAAAAAGCACATTATTTCCCATTAATAGGGCCGCATCAAACTTAAAAAAGAAACCTGTGTAAACCTCTAAATAACGGTTGACATTTAAACAAAGAACAAGAGTCCTCTGTCCGGTTAGAATAATTGAATTATGAATAAAAACATGTTTTAACTAGTGTATTTCATGACACAAAAAGAGTTGTCCATTATAAAAACAATCACACTAAATCTACTTCTGAGTAAACTGTCTAACAATGCACATAGTTTGATTTTTTCCAATCACTTCCAAAAATCCTTCTATTCATTCACAGTTCGAGAAAATAGGAGAGGACTACTCTTGATAAGCCATAATGGTTTCTCTGAGATTGTGTTTTTGACCACCAGGGGTGATTTCAATTTTAACATTGACCTAGAAAAGAAAATTGCAAATGAATTGTGTGGAGAAATCTGGAGAAATCTGGGGATAGATTTCTTTAAAGGAGTGGACGTTTGGCAGTTGTGAGCGTACATACAGTCAATTATTAACACAGCTGTTGGTGGATAAAATGGTAACGGCAGTATCCAGGATATGCAGGCCCTCATCTGTCCATTGTTTCAGCTTCCTATGTTTTGCTGGTAACCATGGGGATGAAATGATGGGAAACACTCAGGAATGGTGTCAGGGGCACAACATGATCATTGAACAGATGAAAACACTTGTCAGCTCAGGACGAACTGTCAAAGAAGACAGTATCTATTGAGAGCAGTAAACATTTATTGGCAGAAGGTCATTTTGACAAAGACTGCGGAATTGGCACAATTGTGAAAAGGCAGGAGTACTTCAAAATAATAAGCTGCATGGGCCTCCTGCATTATGGGCCTTCGGAGCTCAATTCAACAGTTTTTCAGTTCTTTAAAGCCATGCTGGGATCTAGCAGCCAACAAATGTGCAATTTGTAGGATATTGTAATTCCAATAGCACAAAAGTGTATTATATTTTGAAGGGAAAATGTGTTGCATCATCCATCCAGTATATAAACAACATATTTATTAAAAGAAAAGGAGGCTACACTTAAAGGTGGGGTAGGTAATTTTGGAGAAACCAGCTCTGCCACTTCCTTACAGAGCCCCTCCTCCAACACACACAAAATCGCACATGACTAATGAGGGCACGAGATAAGTTTGTACACAGGTGGAAGGCTGACAGGCAGGTAGGCCATCCAGTTATTTTAGCCGGGCCGGCTAAAATGATTGGTCGGGCTTTTTACATTACTACTGCTTCCACAGATGACATTTTTGTATGGATTTTTTGTCAAAGCACTTAAGCCGGTTTCTCAAACTTACCTACCCCAGCTTTAACAGAAAAAAAGACAACTAATTACCTATTGGTTTAGTTTATATGTAACAAGGCAGAGCAGATTGAATATCTTCTTCATGGCAGCATGGGCCCCAATGTCCCATCTGTACACTGTTTATTTCAATGTTGCTTAAAGGTGGGGTAGGTAAGTTTGAGAAACCGGCTCGAGATACACTTTTTGTCATATTCCATGGAATGCTCTTAACATCCTGATAGCAATGAATATCTGAAGTGCTTTGACAAAAAATCCATTAAAAAATCTGTGGAAGCCGTGGTACTGTAAAAAGCACGACCAATCATCTGAGCCGGCCCGGCTAAAGTAACTGGATGGCCTACCTGCCTGTCAGCCTTCCATCTGTGCAGAAACTTATCTCGTGCCCTCATTGGTCATGTCGCGTTCGTGTGTGTTGGAGGAGGGGCTCTGTAAGGAAGTAGCAGATTTCTTCCGGCTGTGTATTTTCAAATTCTAGCGCACTCGAGCTGGGTTCTCCAAAATAGAATAAAAAAAAAAAAAAGAAGCAGTTTCTATATTTGTACGTTTCCTGCTAAAAAAAATGTTTTACCCTGAGTTGTAAGACTTTGCATCAAGTCAATAACTCCATGTTTCAAAATGTATTTTGATGTTGTCACTGTTATTGTGAAAGTTGCATATATAATTTAATAAAGATTTTAGTGAAAGAACTCTTGAATCATTCTAATTTATCGCCGTAGTCTTATTATATTACGGGAAAAATAGACAGGGATCCAATGCAGGACTGTACTCAAGGTCAAACAGTATGAACACCCTATTTTTGGAATTGAAAAAAAAAATCACAACTTGGCCTTGAACAAAGCCCACTTTAAAGCTAAACATTTCATCAATGTAATATTTGTTACTAATGGAAGATTTAAGCTGTACAACAAGTTTGTGCTGCAGAGATATTTGAGAGGCAGTTTCTGTTGGAACTAGTGATGGAAAAAGGAGACTCAGCAATGCGGAGGCGACCTGTTTTCTATGCTCTCCAAACAAGGAAGCTGCCATCACAATGCCTCCATGTACTGTGGCAACAGAGAGGGGCTCGGGCGGGTAATCCAAGAGTTGTCCTCGCTGTTTGTTTGTACTAGCCGAGCTTAACTAGTGGAGAATAACAGGAAGAGGGCCTGAAGTTGGTACAACACTGTGATGTGGAGAGTTTGATGTCAGATCAATGACTCAAAACAAAGTCCTTTGAAGGTGAAAGTATGGCAGTGTTTGATCCTGGCATGTGATTTCAATAAACAGATGATTTCAATAGATTACAAGACTAGTGCCTCTTGCTGCACTTTCTCAAATCAGAAATGTAGTGTTTATTTGACCACTCCTCTGTTATAAATTGTCTGCTGATTTTGCTTTTAGTTGAAAAAAAAAATATGTCATTTACAAAAACAATTTTATGATTAACTTTAGGGGAAATAAATCTGGAAAAGTGAACTGTGTGAGACAGATTCTGCAGTAGCTAGTTTGTATTTCAGGCTTGACAGTTTCATTATTTATAGCAAACTGGGTATGAGCCTGAGGCAACGAGAGAGAGGGAGAGAGACGTCTTATTTTTCTGACACTTGCATCTCTTTTTGTTCCTAAATATCCTCTCAGCGAGGATTATAGGAGAAGAAGCAACACGTTTTTGGGGTGAAATGGAAATTACCTACACAGACAAAACTCTTTCAGTAGTGCTGTCTGTCCCTGTGGACTGCTGCACAGCTGTTCTGTAGTCTATTACTGTCCTACAGTTTAAAATGTTACTGCCGAGTTCACCAGAGATGTACATCAACCTCAACGTAACCAGTGTGCACAACATTAGTTACATACTTTTTTTTTAGAGTCTGACTAATTAGAGAGATGGATATATACAGCAATGGCAGTTTTGGCATTTTTTTACCAAATAAAAATGCCAAGGAGCCAAATGTTTTAACTGACTTTCATCTGGTTTACTCAAGCAGCATTAAGAAATGACTTATTATTCCTGACTTCAGTTAAATTACATGTTAGGATGAAAAACGTAGATTTACTAAATGGATAAGTACAAATAAAGGGAGGTAAAATAAATCTTGACCAGGTCCATGTATGGGTGTTGTACACTTATTGCAGGAGTAACGTTGTTAAGTGGCTGAAGTAGAGCTCGTCTACGGCTCAGGTCATATCAGACTAAACCTAAACTCAGACACAGCAACACAACAACAGAGACACTGTTATCTAAAATCACATTTCTTTCAGGAAGAAAGTGGGTCAACCTGATTAAGCACTAATATGTATCTTGATGTGAGTACTTATGGCCTTCTCATATGGTTCATTGTTTATTTTTTCACCAACCGTCATTGGAAAACACCCTTTATCAGAGAGAGGGAATCACCTGTTATACATTTTCGCCCTCCCTATGTCCCCATATATGAAATGCACAAAACACAAATATGACCATGTGTTTATCATCAGATAAAAATCTAAAGTTACAATGTTGTATCTTTAAATATTGATAGTTGATAATTATATTATTATTTTTCTAAATTAGAAGAAGACACAACACAACAGTAACATGCAGTGAATCTCCAATAGTGAGAGGAAGTCAGGTAATGTAAACTAACTCCAGCACTACTCAGAATTCTAATTTTAGAACTTTTGCTTACTATAAAGCATGTTTAGAGCCTGAAAAAGACAGTACATCATGTTTTTATAACTAATACAAGTTATTAAAAGCTTTTCACAGTATCACAAAACGTCTTGGAATTTCTTGGAAGTCACAACATAAAAGAAATTGCAATAAATTATAATTTTCTTTCATCCATTTGCTGTGTAAATGTAGGCCTGTGGGAAAACCAATAGTTTAGCTACTGTCTCGCTTCCAGGTAACATCATTCTCACTTTAGCAAAGCAATTCACACATCATCCTGTCGGAGGTGGAAAATAGAGGCCAAGGTGTGGGAGAGACTCAAGTCCCAGCATGTTAAGACCTCTAGAGGCGAAACAAAACAAGGAACACCTCTCCATCAACAAAAACTGTTTCTTAGAAACCTCATCGTTTCCATTTTGCAATATTTCTCATCCTCCAAGGACTGGTGGTGCGAAAATAGAGTCCTTAGAGTCCATTTGTCTACTGACTGCTTTTAACACTGTTAATTCTAAACAGTATATCAAAAATATTAATGTCTTCTCTTTGCAAATAACATTTTATTTATAATTGAAAGCTGTTTTGCAAAATCTATTTAGCTTCATTGATTAAAGAAATGTTGAATACACAGACTCAAGGCTGCTAAGCTTACACCGAACCAAAAGTGCTTCACATTATCTCTGCTTTATCTTCTCTTTTGACATCATAATTAAACTTGCTGGAATATCCCACTTCTCAAGTTAAAGGATGTTAAATCCAGCCCTCCTACTTGCAGCTGCTATACATTTACTTATTGATAACACGCTTGTTTTTTCACCCTGTATTTAATCATAAATGATGTTCTGCGTAGCTCCCTGGATGAGTTTCAGGAAACTAGTACCCACACACTCTCTGTTAAGACAACCACATTATGCCCTTTAGAGATAAAAGGATTCTTTAAAATAGAAATGTATGACCACTTGGACACAGATCAGATGGGTGGCACATGATTGATCGTTAATCATTTTAAAAACCCAACGTGAGACACTTTTACAGCCGCAGACACCCCCCTCTCATGTGTCTAACCCTTTTATGTTGCAAACATGCTTGCCACCGTGTTAATCGCTGTGGTGTTCAGACTGACAATAATTTTCTTGACTAGAAACAGTAGGACCAAGGGTAATGTTTCAAATATTTTTCAAATATGGTATTGAGGTTTAGTTAAATGTTTCACCGAAAAAGTCCCTTTCCTTTGTAGTTCCCCGATTTGTTTGGGTTTATAATAACATGCATTCCTTGTAATTTAAATATCCTTATTGGACTAATTCCTCCTGGTTTGAAGTTGCTTCCCCTTTCTGTAGTGAGCTGGGTACAAACAGAGAACATCAGACACACACTTTCAGCTCAGACCAAGTACTGACCCAAACAATTCTGGGCTTCACCACAAATTACTTTTCAGAGTTGACAGCGGAGTGAAAGCCACAAACCAAAACATTTTCCCTCCAAGATTAATCTTTTATTTATCATCCCTGTTTTGCCTCAAGGCTCTCCTGCTCCTTAAGTGATATCCTACTTTCCTGAGAAATATAAACAGCACTTTTGAAGTGCTTTAAAAAAAACCTTGGAGAAAACCTGAAATTGACCACAGGGGAAGTCAAGCCTTCAAATATGGACAGGCAGCATCTTTCTCTGGGGAAAGCTAATAAATAAAGACATTCAGCTTCCAGCTCGTGCTGTTGATTCTGATATCCAGTACTGTCATGTTTATGAGAATACTTTATTCATGTAACTGCTGGAAAGACTCTTCACTTTAGACTAAAACAATGACAATAATAAACCCTGGTCATGATAGGACCCTACTATCTTTTCATTATTAATGCCGAAATAACACATTTAAGTTAACCCTAAAGAACCAAAATGTGATGATTCATTGTCAGCAACAGAATTGAAGGAATTGTATTTTGAATATGAATGCTATGGAGGGGTTTTAATGCGGCAAAGTAGGATATTATGTGCATATGAGGTGTGCCTTCTAAGCTCTGAATAAAGCATCATGGGTCTGCGTGTCAATGTGATTATTGTTGTGGATTGTGATACCTTGATATTTGCATTGCTCTTATTAATTTCTTTGCATGTTGTATTTTGGACAGTGATTTATATCATCAATGTTAAAATAGGTTTAAAATATAGAGTGTTCCCTCAGTGTAGTCTGAGATCACTTTAAAACCTGAAATAGGACGGTGCCCTTTTATTGCAGACAGATACTTCAGGGTTCATTGGTGCCTCCGGTGACTATTGATTTAAAGCCTGGTGGTTTGGTTCACTTTTGGTGGTGCCCCATGCTGCACATCCACTGAAGAGAGGCCCAACAGAGGGGGCCGCTGCCATCAGTCAGCACCAACACAGGGGGCTCTAATGTGGGCAGAAGCAACATGACAAACCCCCCCCCCACACTCTAAAGGGCCTCTGCAGCACGTTACATATCTGTCAGATACCCAACCCTACGCAGTTTAGAGAAGTCATCACCAGAGTGAATTTAAAACATGGACCGCCAGATTAAAAAACATAATACTAATTTTAAAGCTTTATATACTAACAAACAATATTTGTATAAAACTGAATTGCCTTTTCTTTTCTTTTTTAAATGATTGTGTAAGTTATACAATTTCCTATCCACATTTAGAGCTGCAACAAACGACTAATTTGATAATCGATTAATCTATCGATTAATGAAACGATGAATCGACTATTCGGACTATTATGCCTTGCACAATTTGTCAAACGCTCTGATTTAGCCATCAACTTTTAGATTTAGCTTGAGGTTGTTTTAGGCATGTGGAAACTAACAATGAAGACAATAAAGATGAATACTTGATTCAAAAATACATATATTATTATTATTATTAAACTAACTAAACAAATTGCGAACAAATGTAACATTGCTTTTTATTTAAATAAAAATAAATAATATTTCACATCAAAAGAAACAACAATGTTTTAACAAATCGTATTAAATAATCTGATGACAGAACTGTAAACAGAATAGCTGAAACTTTAACAAAATAAATAACTCAGTTACCTCTAATCATTAACCCATGTTTGTATAACTGAGTTAACTGTGTGTTGCTGCTAGCATACATAACACCTGACGTGGAAACGTTGCTCACGGACGGGGTTACAGAGCTACTAGAAAGACAGTTGAACCCGGTGCATTCCTGGATGTGGAGCACTTTTGATAAATGTTTAGACAAACTGTTCGTGTTACCGCCCTTACATGCTCAACTCTTATTGTACTTTTGGTAACGAGCATTGTACACATTAACACGGGTAAAGTTTAACCACACCTCGGAGCGCGTTCCCTCCGCCGTGTGTGTGTGTGTGTGTTGCTGCATGTAGCAGCTGCGTGTGTGTAAACGGCCCCGCCCCCTCGCACACAGATGGGGGAGAGAGATCTCGCCTGGATTGGAAAGATTGAAAATACTCCATAGACGCCTTTGTTTGTCTTTTTGCATCGTTAGAAACGAGTTGGCGACACTAAAACTGTGATATAATATTTATGTAGCAATAAAACATGACATATCTTTTTTAAATGTCTCCAGAACCGATAAAAAGACCGATAACGTTGGGGCTTAACTGCGCGTAAAACACACGTGATGACGTCACCAACGAATCGACGACTGAATTAGTTGGCAACTAATTCGATTTTAATCGATTAAGTCGATTAGTTGTTGCACCCCTAACACACACACACACACACACACACACACACACACACACACACACTCTCTCTTTAGTTCCATCCGTTACCTTGAGTTTCTGCGCCTCCCCCCTCACTTTCAGCAGCTCAGTGATGGAGTCCACGAAGCCCTGGAAGTGATGGTTGCACATCTTCTCGATCTCCCGGTCGTGGTTCCTGATCCGCACGTCCAGCTTCTCCACGAAGAGGCCATGCTCCCGACCGTCGTACACCGACCTGGAGGAAAACACAGCAGGTAGGAAGAGCGACATTGTTTTAATTACATTTGAACTTTAAGATCACTTCAGACAATTTCATTTCACCCCTAATAAATGTCATTTTTTTAATTATTTGTGTAACTTTGTTATAAACAGTTCCACTTATTGTACACTTTTTAAAAGTTCAGCGCTTTTCCCTTATCTTTTCATCTCAAGTAAAGAAGGAGAGACCGATTAACTTGCAAATAGTTGCTTTTCTGTGCTTAAAATCATTTTTAAACAAGACACTGACGCTTCACTGATTCTCAACAAATTCTTTCTGTACTTCTTATGGCCTGCAGACAACCATAACATATCCACTTGAATCCAGTTAACACTATGCGTCACATCATTCAATACTTTAAACATATCTAACAGAATAAATACATGCAGGATTTGGGGGGAAACCAAAGATGTTCTTCTCGTGCATGCAGCTGTGAAGTAGGTGCAGTTACAACATGTGTCCATCAGGTGGCAGCATTGTGTCGCTGCTGCACATTTCCATACATCCATTCATTGCTGGGAGATGCTAACAGTGGATGAGGGCAGTGGGGTAGTTTCCACTTCAATGCCTTGCTTAAGGGCATGTCATCAGTGTTCCTAATCTATAATACGGCTAATTATAAAAGTCAAATCAAGCAATCTGATTGGTTCTTAGCCGTGATACAATGAGCGTATATCACGGGTAGAATTGTGGTTACGTTTCCCAACATCATTGTGTGTCCTTTGTGTCACAAGTGATTGTCTCATACAGGCAGATGTAGAAAAGTAATAGCCGTGTTTACAAGTATTTTCTGTCATAGCAATCACAGCTCTTCCTGTGCTCTTTCCCTTACAAAACACACACACAGCAGAGAGAGAGAGAGACACACACACACACCTGTGTATGTGTTAAATCCCCCTCCCTTCCTCATGTTGATCAGGAAATGCCCGACTCGTACAATAGAGAGCAGGTCTGACGACACAAAGGGGCTTTCCACACACACACACACACACACACACACACACACACACACACACACACACACACACACACACACACACACACACACACACACACACCTGACATCAAAGCAGGAAATTCAAAGAAACAAGAAATAGCAGAAGTCATACATGCATACAGTGAATGACAGGAGTGTGTGTGTGTGTGTGTGTGTGTGTGTGTGTGTGTGTGTGTGTGTGTGTGTGTGTGTGTGTGTGTGTGTGTGTGTGTGTGTACCAAGGTCCAGAGTCTGTAGAACCACTGCCCTCGACACACATTGTAGAGTCAGTCAGTGGTTGGCAAATAAACAGAAATGTAATCACAAATAAGTGAATGAACGAGGGTGTAGTATGAACACATGAAAAGAAAATAATTATTTTCTAAACATTTGGAGACATGTGTTGCATTCTGGGAAACAATAGGGGCGGGTAAACTTTAAAATAGACAGCTTCTTTCTCCTGTGAACATGTGTGTGTGTGTGTGTGTGTGTGTGTGTGTGTGTGTGTGTGTGTGTGTGCTATACTTGTATATGTATGTACTAGTAACGT